CTTGATATACTCTTCACCGGAGGAAGGTGGCACTGACAAATTAATGTTCTCGTCGATGTCTCCTACCACAAATACTGGCTGTTTCAGACACTCCATTATAATTTATAGATTCAGTATAAAGCATTTTAATATTTCTCGGTATATACAAAATTTGAGTTTAAGGTTAATTCTGCATAATTTTTAAGAGTTGAACAAAATTAAATAGAAGATGAAAATAAGTAATAGAATCCTCCTTTTTTTGTAACAATATTATTATATCGGAGAGAAGCCTGAAAGTGGTCATAGCCGCTTTTTAGCTGTAACCTTATTCATGTAGGTAATGTATACGATTTCGTGATTTCCTTTGTGCTAGACGCAAGAGTGATCTTCTTCTTCTTATGTTTTTGGCCGAAACTACCTTACGGCGTCAATACAGGTTACGATTCAATTCGAAAAATATATGAGCAATAAAGCGTAATGATCATAGACCTTATAGATATGGACTGGCAATTGCTATAGTTTCTGCATAAGAAACAGTGTCCGCGGGAGATTAGACAGAGAGAGACATACTTTTTAATATTTCTTTCTCTTAAGATGTCCGAAAATATATATTGCGCATGAGTTCGAAGCATATGGCGCATTAATATAATAATATGATTGAAAACAATATATATTGTAGTGAAGAATGAAAGACTTTATAATCGAACATATAAAATGCAATAAAATAAAAAATATACAAAAAAAGTGAAAAAAACATCGGATAAAACTTTCAGATTAATTTGTGAAAAGTAATTTGTGAAAAGTAATTTGTGATAATTTGTGAAAAGAGTTTTAAAATAAACGATATGTAATTCTATATCAAAGTTTTTATTTTTACCGTAATTCTGTAAAATAATAAAAAATAGAGTAAAATAAAAATTATAATATTTAATGAATCATGCATGATATATTTGCTGCATACTTAAATTTTAATGTCATTTCCAATTTTGTTTTATTTTATATACATGACACACAATATACTTGTTTTTTAAATAATGAAAAAATATAAAAGAATAATTTTTTAAAAATGCGAATTCTTAGAAAAATATGATAGCTATTTAATAATTATTTAATAATTTATTAATTATTTTAAACAATAATATATTAACAAAAAATGTTTTGAGACTAATAATAAATGGACTAATTTTTTTATAAATAGTCGGTTCGTGTTATTTATACTTATTTCACTTAAGCTTCTTATTCTTTCTTTTTCCATTTTTCACAAATATATCTATTCTGCTTTAAATATTGAAAATTCTAAGCAACGCGAACTTACGTTCGTTACATATGTTCGAACCATTATTTTTTTTTTTAGAAATATGATATGATATTCCGCAAATACGATTAACGTACAAATAATCTCAAACTTTTCTTTAACATGCATACAAGTATAGATCAATAAGAATGCATTAATGTATAGTATATGTTAAGCATGCGCAAAAAGTATTTCCGGACACTTTTAGAAAAAGAGAGACGTTTCTCTTTCCAACCTCTCACGAACATAATCATATCTGTATTATTAGTCTATACGGTCTATAAGGTCTATGATGATGACGCATACCAAAAATTTTTATGGGGACAAAGGATGTCCGAACTCAATGGCCTGAGAAGGACTGTGCAAGAGTGATAAAAACGGACGATATGGACACGATCATTGGCTATCGAGAGACACGGGGTGCGTTCCTTTATTCATTCCTCATGTACTCATGCTATGACGTAATGGAAGTATACTGCAGCTATCGTTCCGTTTTAGTTTTGTCACCGACGAGATACTATTAAAAACCGACAACCGTGGGTAAATTTCGTCACCACAAAGGGGCCTCGGAGGCCCGGAGATAATTGAAGAATATTGATATTACTGTTTTAAGGTATAATACATTGTTATAAAAGAATTGGCAAACACGTGTGTATGATTCACATATTTATTGTGGTAAGACGTTACATGACCTTACGGGAGCGATCTCGCATGGTGATTGCCCCGGTTCACGCATCTTATTATAGTTTACTTCGTCATGATCAGATGGCACAAGCCGCCATCACATAACATCTTTCCCTTCTTATTCGTACATACAATATAACGGATACAATTTTAAATACAGATAACTGAAGTGAAATACAGAATACAGATTTATAAATGCTCTGCGATAAATGGAATACCATTTGAAATATAGATTAATTTAAGTATAAATACAAATAGAACGGTAATCAATCGAGGCGCACAAAATCTTTTAAAAGTCTTCTTGGTTCGCGATGAGCAGGTCTGTTGTAACATGAAGCTACGATGTTGTTACGTGGGGCTACAACTGGAATATTTTGTTCCTGCCTTATTTATTTGATTATCGTTTGCCTCAACATTTGGATTATCATTATTCTCGTTTACATTTTGATTAGTCTCATCCTCTATAAAAATAGGGTCATTATTCACATTTAATCACATTATTCACATTATCATTTAATTGCTTGTAAGGAGCATATATCAAATGCCACCTGTTTCTTTGGATTGTTGAGCCTCTTTGAGTTTTTAATATATAAGAGTTTGGTGTATTCGCCGTGCGGGTTATTTCCGTATAAATACGCATATTGATACCCAAACTTTCTCACCAATCGAAAGACTAGATAATTTTTTAGCTCTATGCCTCCTGTTATATTGGTTTTTCTGATATAATTTCTTTTCCGTTTCTTTTTTAAAAATCGTGTGTGAGGGTGTCACAAAGGTGTTTAATTTTGAAGGCAAGGAACGAATTTTTCTTGAGAACAACATTTCGGCGGGGGAATAACCATTATCAAGAGGCATAGACCTATAGGATAATAAACCTTTGTTTATGTCGTTACATTTTTGGATAATAGATTTTGCTATTTTAATAGCTGGCGCCATTGCTTTCTGAATACTCTGGCGAATTTTGAATGTGCTTGAAATCAAAGTCTTTGGCAAAATCATTAAATTTGGAGGAAAATTGTGTACCTGAGTCGCTTCTGACAAGTTCAGGTATATCCAATTTAGTGAAAATTTTCTTAATAACTAATAAATTTTCTTAATAACATTTTTTAATAACTGCGTCTTCGCTCAAATTTTTAAGAGAGAAAATCTCAAAGTATCACGAATAATAATCGGTTATAATCACGAACCATTTATTATGTTTGAATAAATCGATCCTGACTTTTTGTCAAGGACGATCTGGAAACTTTTCTGCGACAAAAGGTTCTTTGAAATTTTTCTTCTTCTCTACATTCGGGATAAAATTCGATAAGGTTTTTTAATTGTGTGCTCAGACCTGGCCACAGATTGTTTCGCCATTTTGTGTCTCTACATTTTGTTATGCCTAAATGACCAGTATGTATTTTATAATAATATCTAGTTGTAAAGGAGGTAGTATAATAATTCTGGAATTGTATATAAGTGTATCTTCGCAAACAGAAATATTGTCTTTTAAATGATAATACGGTAAAAATCCGTCCTCCAACTTATTTTTTGCTGGCCATTTATTGCGACAGTAATTGATTAGTTGTAAACAAATATAATCTTTACAAATATAGTTTTTTTGCTCTTGCTTGATTTTTTCGATAAAATTTTTTAAAGCAGGTAGATTGTCCACAATGAGATTTACATAGTTTTTTATTTCTTTATAAAATTTGTCCTGCTCAAAGCAAGTAATAGTGTTAATATTTCTCGATAAATAATCAGCTAATACAAGTTGTTTACCCGTTGTTTACCCGGTACGTTATCTACGGAATAATTGTATCGCATTAGTCTTAACCTCATACGTAGAAGTTTTGGAGTTAGTTCATCCAATTGTTTGGTTTGTAAAATTTGTAAGAGCGGTTTATGGTCGGTCTCTAAAATTAAATTATGTAAACCTAAAATATATTCTTTAAAGTAATCCGCATCAAAAGCTAGTGCATAAGCCTCTTTTTCGATTTGGTTATAATTTTTTTCTGTACTGTTTAATGGTTTTGACGCGAATCCGACTATTTCGCGTTCATTCTTTTCGCCGATTTGCATTAAGGCTGCACCTATACCGTAACTGGAAGCATCCACTTGCAAAATAATTTGTTTGGTATAATGAGCAAGTGTGGGTGCATCAATTAATAATTTTTTAACCTGCTCAAAGATCTTCTTTTGAGGTTCTAGCCAAATAAAATGAGCATCAGACTTTAATAATGAATTAAGCGGTTCTAAAATATGTGATTCATTAGGGATATATTTACCCGCGTAATTGACCATTCCCAAAAACTGCAACAAAGAATCTTTGTCGGTAGGAAGTGGGCATTTTGCAATTACTTCCACGCGAGATGGAAGTAATTGTAGCCGACACCTTTTTGCGAAATCTCATGTCCCAAAAACACAACTTTATTAACACAGAACTGGCATTTTTGCTTATTTAGGGTTATGTCAGCTTTATTAAGTCTTTCCAATACTATACGTAGATTTTTATCATGTTGTTCAACCGTCGCGGCGTGGACAATGACATCGTCGATATGAATTTCAATGCCTGGTATATTTCTCAAGATTTCTGAAAAGTACTGTGCGAAATAGTCGATTGCGCAATTTACCCTGAAAGGTAATCTTGTATACATAAGGTGGTGTTACATAAAATTACGCATTAATAAGGCATAATTATGGTAGTAAGTGGCTGGCTAGCCTTATTTAATTTAATTTGATGAAATCCGCTTTTAGTGTCTAATTTGCTGAAAACTTTAGAGCCTTTCAGGTTAGCAAGAATATTATAACTTTTTTAGCCGGAAAATGCGATCTTTTTGTATCTTTGTTTAATTGCGAAAAGTCGCCACATAGCCTTATTTTATTCGAATCTTTACGCGGCACAACTACGATTGGACTGCACCAATCTGTGAGAAAATCGACCGGTTTTAAAGTACCATCTTTTACTAAAGCTTCTAAGCTAGTTTTAAATTTTTTGAGCAAAGGAATTGCTACCGTGCGAGGCGTTGACTGAAAGAATGGTTTTACATCTTCCTTCATGTGTACATGTAATTCTTTTTTAAATGAACCTATACCTTTAAAGAGATGTGGATATTCCATATATGGATCAATTTTAGATACTTTTAAATTCGAGTCAATTTTATTTACTCTTTTCATCAAATCGAATTTTTTAATTTCTGGTTTGCCTAGCAAATTATTTTTTAAATGTTTAAATA